GTGAGATCTCAAATAAAACAAGACAAGCAGACTTAGTCTGTGGCTGTGATAAAACACCATACCAAAAGCAACTTGGGGCGGGAACTCCAGGCAAGAACCTGGATGCAGAGGCCTTGGGGGAGTGATGTTTGCTTACTGGCTTGCTCCTCACGGTTTGCTTAGCCTGATTTCTGATTTCTTACACAACCCAGGTGTGGTCTCACCGCACAGGGGTTTGGGCCCTCCCATATCGATCACTAATTATGAAAATGGAGCCAGGTGTTACGGTGCGTGCCTTTAACGTCAGTACTTGAGAAGCAGAGGCAGGCAGATCACTGTGAGTTCAAGGCCAGAGTGGTCTACATAAGTTCTAGGACAGTCAGGGCCACACAGGGAAACCCCGTCTCAAAACAAAACAAAACAAAAAACAAACAAAACAAAAACAAACAAAAAACAAAATTCTACACAGGTTCGCATACAGGCATTTTGTTTGTTATCTGAGGTTCCCCTTCCTAAATGTTAAGTTGTGTTAAGTTGGCATAAGTCTAGCCAGTACACAAAGCAAAAACTAAATCCAAGTAAGTTTCCTAGGTGCTGTGTTGAAATATAAGGATAAGGCTGGCTTTAGTCACAGTAATTAAAGGGTCCCTACCCAGTTTATAGTTTATAGCCCCACACAATGCGGCTTCAGCGTGGTGCCCCTGCAAAATGTGAGGTGTCTACACAGCTGTTCTAGACGGCATCACCACCGCTATCCCATCCCTGCAGGGTGTACCCCCCCCCCCCGCCCCCAGGGAACTTCCTGTCCTCTCTGACAGGATAAATGGTGCCCAGTCCATTTCCTAAAGCCATGGCAACTTCCTTCCTCATTCACGCCCAGACCCTCCCTCCCCTTCCTCCTTGGGAGCTTTGGGGCCACAGCTCTTCTGTGTTTGGTCACGATGTATGCATTCTCCGGTCTGCTTCTAGAACTAGCTCATGAAAGCAGACAGGCTGGCGGTGGACACTTGGGAGGCCAGGGCAAGTGTGGACCTACAGCTGCTGTACAGTCAGCCAAAAGAAGAGTGTTCATGCCCATGCAGTTTTCCTAGAGGGCCAGGGAAGCAAGAGAGTCAGGGAGGATGGGGCTGGCCCAGAGTCAGAGCCCTGGGGAAGATGGGAAGCTACTTCTAGCCCAAGCCAAGCATCCGAAGGGCACCTCTCCGCCTGAAGCAGCAGCCTGGGGCTCTTAGGGGAGTTTTTCTGGGTCTGGCCTGTGTCACTGCCAACTGATAGCCCCACATTATCACCATGAAAAACCTGCCCGAGTTCTTCAGAAATTAGAAACACCGGATTTTGAGAAAGCTTGAGAGGTAAAAGCTTCCAGGATGATGGAGGGTTACGTGAGAGAGGTCCAGTGAGCAGCAGGCCCTGTGGCTTTAGATCAGAAGCTGGGAAAAGAGGCACCATGCAAACACCCAGAGCTAGCTAAAGCTTGCTCTTTAGCTCCGGACAGAATTACAAATGTGCTCCCCCACCCCATTATCAGGGGATGCTGCTTCTGTGGCCGCTGGCTGAGGCATTCACACGGAGGAGGTAGAAAGGGTGCCTGCGCCTGTCCATCACTGTGGCAACTGTGTGGGCATCAGCACCCCGCTCATCAGTGCCTCCTTTCTGATAAGTTGCATGCTTCCTCGGCTCGAGGATAACTTTAACAACGAATCCCCCCAGACACGCAGCGGTAACGCATCACAAACGAACAGCAAAGGCAGTAACCCGGAGTGAGTGAGTGACCATGCTTCCGGGGGCTTTAGCTGTACCTTAGAGGCACTCCTGCCAGGAAGGAACGCACAGGAAACAGCTGGAGCCCAAACAAAACTCATGGCGAAGGCAGCTGAAGACTCAAAACCAAACAACAGTCGATGTAAAACACACAGGGTAAGGTGCATGGGTCAATGCTGGGAGTTGGGGGTATGTACGGGTAATCCCAGGACTTTGGAAGTGGAGGAGGAGGAGGGGCACAGTTCCAGGACAGCCAGGGCAGCTCAAGGAAACTCAGGATTCCAAATGACATTAACAAACAAACAAACAAAAACGTTGCAGATACAGACAGCACAGTGGTACACACACTGTGCAGTATTGACACGATGGAATCTCAAATTTTTGGTTTGTTGCTTCTTACTTTACAACACTCTACTAACACTCTATTATCTATAACCAGCAAAACGGCCTTTTCTTTGATGAGACTTCAACCTGTGACCTTCTGACTTCAAGATGTCTGAAGCTTTTTTTTTTTTTTAATGCCATCGAGGGCAGGGCTGTGATAGCCGAACAGAGAGCCACAGCTGTGATGCTATACATAGTCTGTCCCCAAAGCTCACATGGCTCTTGGTCCCTCGTTTCAAGATCTTGATAAAAAAGGGGGGGGGGGGTGATGGCACTGTCTATGGTCGCTGCCTTGTTTTAAAGGAATTCTTTTTCAAGGTCATCTGCATTTTAAAACACAATCTTAGAACACATTTGATGCATGTCATCTTTTCCATGTCAGTAATCTGAGGCTTTCTGTGCACATTTGAGGGAGAGCTCCAGGAGTTAAGTTGAACCCAGTAACGTAATTCCTTCTGGCTGCACATGCGGCTGAAAAATCTATTTGCAGCAGCTCCTTCAGATGCATTGGGTCAAGACAGTTTCTGAATATTAAGACAAAGGAGAGTAGATGAAAGCCACAATAAACCTTCTAGTTCAAACATCCAAAATGCTCTCAACTCCTCTCACTGCAGAAAAATCTTCACCCGCTGCAACCGGGCTGACCACAGCTCCGCGCAGGACAGGCGTGAGAAGAGGCTTCTGGGGATGAGGGGCCACTCGTTTGGGAGCTGGACATGTATTTCATTGATGAAGTTGATGTCCTTCACACACAAAGGACATCCCATGCAGAGCCAGGGTCACCAGGAGACTTAGACAAGGAGAACAGAGAGGATCTTTGAGTCTGGGGGGAAGAATTCACAGTTCGTGCGGCTTGCCTTTGGCGTGTGGCAGCGTCTAGCTAGCATGGTCAGTCTGCATACAGTGTGGCCTGCATACCTCTCCACCACACACGAACAAACACAGAGCCCAAGGCCACAGCCGTCCTTCACAGAGCTCTCCCTCAGGCCATGTCCCCAGCAGCGTCCACACGAGCGGCCCTCACCTTCTTCCCTTTCTCCTATGACCTGGACACCCCAGTCCCCTCCACATACACAGCATTTCCTCAGGGTCCTTTGTTGTGTCATCTGACAACTTTTCTTTCTTCTTCCTTCTTCCTCACTTCCTCTTCCTCTTCTTCGTGACTCAGGTACACTCAAGTGAGTACTGCTCAGGCTGAGTACTCTCCCTGCCTACAAGCTCCACTGGCTACATACTCTACTCAACATCCAGTGAGTAGAGCATACAAAAGCCAGTGCATACAAAACCAGAATCTTTATTGAACACCTGTTCTTCCATTTAGATAAATGTCATCACCATCTGCCCGAAGCCCGGGTGATTCTGGGTACCGGCACTGGCCTTGTCTCCACATCCCACTCGGTAAGGATCTGCCAGTGGTGCCTGTAGGACACACACCCACCAGGTCACTGCTCCACCAGGACCCTCTGTCTGCATTATACCTCTGTTCCCTGCTCTCTACCTGCAGCCCATTCCACACAGGAAACACTAGCAAGCGCAGGATTCTTACATGCCAAGACTAGCTAGCTTCTGAAGAACATGGTCAAAGCCTCTCCTGACCCATGGCTCCGCCGTTTCTGCTCCCAAAGCACAATAAGGCTCTTCCCATCCTCGGAGCCTTAGTGATTCCCACGCTGCCAAGCTAGGCACATGTCTAGCTCAGACCTCGTGCCCTCCAGTTAGTCTGGAAATCGTGGGCTCAGCCTGCTGCATTACTTACTGCTTACTGTCTCTAACAGGATTAGTCATATAAAACTGTCCCTGCTGAGTGCAAGCTCATTGAGAGCAACCAGGCTGGCTGGCTCACCAGCCAGCTTTTGGCTGAGGGGACACTCAGGCGCAGCGGCCTTGGGCTGTATGGCAGGGCCCTGGCTCCTAGCTGGCTATGCTTTACCAGTGCTCTAGTTAAGATGGCAAGGACAGCCCTACAGAAAAGCACTAGCCAGTCTTGCTCCCTCGGGTCAACCAGGCTTGGTCTGTTTCTGCTGTCTTTTGACTCCCATCGTGGTTCGGGCCCAGTGCAGAGATGGGGAGGCTGCTTATTTAGACTAGACGCAATCAATAGCAGAAGTGACCAAGGCAGGCAGGCCTCTGGCCAGAGGATGCCATGTACAATGGGCTGCAAAAGGGGTTAGTCCCTAGATGGGCCGACCGGCCCTTCCCACAGACTGCAGAGTCCTAATTCTTGATTCTCCTCAATGGGGGGTGGGGGGAGACTGGGTGGAAGCGTCTGTTGTCTTAGAGACCTTGGTGCTCCTGGGGCCTAGGCAAGAGGTTTCAGATGAGGGTTTATAGCGTCAGAATACCAAAAGAGGAAGGGTGGGACTGGGTGGTAAAACACCCAACAAACAAACAAACAAACAAACAAAGGACAAGGAGCAACCCCCCAAGTGCCAACTGTACCCTGTAAACAACTCCCAGGAGCAGCAACCCAACAAAAGGCCCCATTGACAGGCACACCCGTCTCTCTAAGTGCAGAGCAATCATGCTCTCTTACAGAGACCCCCCCCCCCCGCCACCTGCCGTGAAGGGTTACTGTCTGCCAAACTGATGAATGAACCCTAACCTTCACGTCCACGGTCACCATGTAAGGTGACTATTCCAACTTCAAACCAAGAACTTAGTCCCTCCTGCTGTTTTTCCCCTTTGACTAACTGAAGAAAGACACCAGGAAAATCTCAGAAGGCAAATCGAAAACCCACACCCTGGAAGACTTAAAACATGGCAATCCCGTCCCTGGGAAGGTGAGGAACGAAGCCAAGCCCTGTTTAAGGGAAACGGTGGCGGCAGATTCAGTCAGCCAGCTAGGGAGGAGGAAGTGGGAAGCGTTGGCGCCTTACCTCAACACCTGCATTTCCTCTGGGGAGTTCCGCAGCTCATCCTGCAGGCGACGCCAGCGCAGGCAGGCCCTCAGCTCCTGCTGCTCCAGGGCCTCATGTGGGGGCAGCTACATGGGACAGACAGACAGACACATGCACACATATATAAGCAAAATGGTGTCATTGTGTTGGTCAGGCTTTTCTCACCCAGGGACTGACTCTGTCCCACAGGGGACAACTGGGCCCGCCCTCCTCCCCTGTGCTCTCCAACACAAGAGGGCTGAAGGGTGCTGGTGGGTACCGCAGCCCTGTCTTTGGGGTCCCCGGTCCCGGAAACCAGCCGCTGCAGTCTGGAACACACACCTTCCCCACAGGCCGGCTCTCCTTTGATTCCTTCCCTGCCTCGTTTCTGCACGGGGACGGGAAAGGCCCTCCACTTACGCTTATTTTCCCCAACCCTCAATGTTGTTAAGGACTGTTTATAGTGGAGCCTGCTAATGTAATCCAGATGACTCTGTTTGCATAGATCCAGAAGGAAAAAAAAAAAAGTATACTGTCTGGACTCAATCTGGAGGCAGGGGAGGGCCATCGCACTGTCCCACAGAGTCAGAACTGGCTGCTGTCACGCGGGCTCACAAGGCCGCATGGCTGGGTTCTCCATAAAAGAGGGTGTACAGGGAAGTACCCTGCAGGGAGGGAAACATACTGGATCTACACACATTTTTTTAGAATGTCTCTGGTCTCTGATAATGCATCCACCAAATCTCAGCAGGCCCTGGGTCAGTATGGAAGACTTGAACTACCATGAGAAGTGGTACGTGAGGACGGACGCCAGTATCAGACTGGTCAAACAAGACCATGGGGTTCCTTGTCAGAAGGGGAGGTGAGGGGCCAGAAGATTTCCCAGGGTGGGTGGTGATGCCTGAGCTTGCGGGGGGGGGGGGGGGGCCAGAAGCTTCCGGAAGTGAGAGCACCAGCAGCTCGGAAAGAGTGTGATGTTCTTAGAAAGTAGCAAGGGGGTCATGGACGAGCTGGGGCCAGACAACCGAGGCGGGAAGGGAGAGCGGCAGAGAGGTCAGAGGTCAGCACACTGCTCCACAAGACATGCTCACTGAAGAGCGAGCGGGCTTAACGTGATGCTTTGGAGACAGGACCTTCCAAGAGGCGATCATGGTTAAAATGGAGCTTTTAGAGGGGACCGTGAACCTTCAGGGCTGTCATCTTATGAGAGCGTGGAAGAATGGTCATGTGAGACCAGAGTGAAGAGACAGTCACCAGACAGCCAGGAGAGGAGGCCACCCCAGAAATCAGTTCTCTTGGTTCCCAGGTCCTGTCAGCTTCTTGCTGGAAGAGAACAGGCACGTCGCACGCAGCTTCCATGTGTCTAGAATGCGTTACGCTAACTCACACATTATCCCATCCACTTTGTGAACTTGAGTCGTCTAGACCCATTCCCCAAGGGAGAAACCGAGGCTCCAGGAAGCCCTGACCCAGCTCAGAGCCCAGGCTGTCTTCCATTCTCGGGAACAGGGTATACTTTGGTACCTGCTGGCTCCATGTGGGAAGAGGACGGAGGGACAAGTGAGATGTAGCCCCACTGTGTGATGTAGCCCCGCTGTGTGATGTAGCCCCGCTGTGAGATGTAGCCCCACTGTGTGATGTAGCCCCGCTGTGTGATGTAGCCCCACTGTGTGATGTAGCCCCACTGTGAGATGTAGCCCCACTGTGAGCCCACTGTGTGATGTAGCCCCACTGTGAGATGTAGCCCCACTGTGAGATGTAGCCCCGCTGTGAGCCCACTGTGTGATGTAGCCCCACTGTGTGATGTAGCCCCACTGTGAGATGTAGCCCCACTGTGAGATGTAGCCCCACTGTGTGATGATGTTGCTTCTGCACTGAGAATAGGGGAAGCACGTGGAGTCCGGGAAAGCTGTGTTGGGAAGTTTGAGGTGTGAATCAGTTTGGGAGTTTGGGTTTCAGAGATGGGACCTCAGCCTGGCCACGGAAACACTAAGACTTCACCAGGAAGAACGTTCTTGTACAAAATCAAACAGGGTGAACAACCTTGGGGGCTTTAGGAAAATGGTAAGAAAGCAAGGGTGGGGGGGGTGGGGACCACACAGAATAGAAGTGACCCTGGGGTTAGGGAGCGGAGGGAGGGGGGAGAGAGGGAGGGAGGGATGGGGAGAGAGGGAGGTATGGGGAGAGACGGAGAGGGAGAGAGGGGGAGGGAGAGGGGGAGAGAGGGAGGGAGAGAGGGGGAGAGAGAGGGGGAGAGAGAGGGGGAGGGAGAGAGGGAGAGAGAGGGGGAGAGAGGGAGGGAGAGGGAGAGAGGGAGGGTTGGGGAGAGAGGGAGAGGGGGAGGGAGGGAGGGGGAGAAAGAGACAGGGAGAAAGAGGGAGAGAGAGAGAGTAGGAAACAGCCCTGCAGTCTCATGCTGGTGTGTGTGTGTGTGGGGGGCTGGTGGCCAAGGTCGAGTGGAGGGAGTAGAAGGGCCTTTGGTCAGTGCTTCCCACCCTAGGGGGCTGAACCCAGGTCTGCAGGCCAAGCAGAGGCATGGCCACTGAGCAGACAGCCTCCACTCCTGAACCTGCCTTTTCGACCTACAGCCTTCCGGATATGCAGGGCGTGGCCCGCGAGCTACATTCTCAGCCCCTGGTTTTTACACTTGATTAAAACAAATTGTTTCTCTGTTAGTTTTACCACAGGGTGTCACTCAAGCTGAGGCCAGTCTGGAACTCACTACATTGTGCAGGGTGGCCTCAGAGCTGTGGCAATACTCTTGCTCAAGCCCCCTCATGCTGGGAATACAAGTGTGAGCCACCATGCCTGGTTTACAGCATCTTTTCTGAATTAGTGAGCGTCACGTAAGAATATGGAAACACTGAGTTCCTAAAACACGTGTCCCAGCCACAGTGAGCCTCCCTTTAAACGTGACAACTGACTGCAGTAGAGTGGCAGGTACCAGTTTGTCACCTTACCTAGTCCATGGCACTAAGCGCCTTGTCCCTCATCCAGAGATTTCCATTCTTTGTCTAGGGAAGGAGGTTGGGGCAGAGTCTTATTATCGAGAACTGGGAGACTTGGAATTTAGGAACTTACATTATATAGACTACACTGGCCTCAAACTCCTTCCATCTTCCTGCCTCAGCCTTGCAAGGGCTGTGATTCCAGGCATGAGCCACACCCCCAGCACTTGCTAACACTTAAATCTGATTATCTAAAAAAAACCTACAACTAGGGAAGAGTACTCACACAAGTTCAAGTCCAGCCTGGTTACACAGAGCGCTCCAGGCCAGCTGGAGGCACACAGACCTACAAAGACCCTGTCTCAAGACAAAACACAACACCCACAGCTCGTGTTCCCATGGCCACAATGCAGGTGGATTATGCAATGCGGGAATCTGAACTTTCTCCATGCCTCTGCTCACATACGTTCTTAACAGGTCTTCTCTAAGTCCTCGGACAAAACCGTCCCGTCCACTCGGCGTGGGGCTCTCAAAGTACTTATCACATTGCTACTTCTTTCGTTTATCTGATCCTTCCATCTCTAGATTGTGTACTTGGAGAGAGCAGCCCTTCTACAGTAATTATCCAGCGTGTAACTATTGAGTGGGTGGGTGCATGGAAACGGAGCCTGGTCCTGGGGAGGGAGATTCTCTGAACCCACCTTCTGTGCTTCAGCCCAAAACACATCTTCCAAGTGAGTGGCGAACCCTTCGCTGAGCCACTCTTCCGTCCAGTCTCGGGCCCCGATGGCTAGGCCAAACCAGGCGTGAGCGATTTCATGGCAGAGACGGGTCCCACAGAGATGGCTCGTGCCTGTTAAGGTGCTCTGGGAGAGGAAGATGATGTGTGGGCTGCAGACAATGGGAGAGAGAGAGAAAAGCATGTGGAGTCCTGTTAGCACCTGTCCTCACGGCTACTCAGTGGGGCGGCTTTCTTAGCCCCACGGAGTCTGTCATTACGGTGTGCGTGCCAGATCATGACGGACAGATGCGGCTTCGATGCTTTTAGACCTGAATCAAGCGGCAGTTTACGTTACTGGCAGCTGTTCAAGTTGCTGTTTCTGCCAGCAGTTGTCTTCGTCATCAGGCTCCCATTACCTGTAATAAGTGACCTGCACCAAGTTTTATACTGAAAAAAATTACAAGGCAGTGGAAACGTTTGCTATGAGATCTGGACTGTAAAAGAAGAGCAGGTGTGAGGATGTCAGGGGAGTGATCAAAGAAGGTCGTTCAGCAAAATACTAGCAGCTCACAGGCAAATCAGGAAGTCATGTGGAAGGCCGGGGAGAGACAAAAAGAAAAGAACCCCAAATCTTCCATTTCGCACCGGAGCCGACTGTGGAGTTCACAATCAAGCAGGGTGCCCTGGGTGGGGAGACTCTTGAGTGGCCCGGAGAAGAGCCCTGTGCCTACAAAACAAAGACTCTCCATGCGAGCTGCAGGCCCTTACAGACCCACATGACAAGAGAATCATGAAAATGGAGGAGGAAGGAGGATCACAGACCCTCCCAGGGGGAGGAGGGGATCACAGAGCCTCCCAGGGGGAGGAGGGGGAGCACAGAGCCTCCCAGGGGGAGGAGGGGGAGCACAGACCCTCCCAGGGGGAGGAGGGGGATCACAGACCCTCCCAGGAGGAGGAGGGATCACAGACCCTCCCAGGGGGAGGAGGGGGAGCACTGACCCTCCCAGGGGGAGGAGGGGGAGCACAGACCCTCCCAGGGGGAGGAGGGATCACTGACCCTCCCAGGGGGAGGAGGGGATCACAGACCCTCCCAAGGGGAGGAGGGGATCACAGAGCCTCCCAGGGGGAGGAGGGGATCACAGACCCTCCCAGGAGGAGGGGGATCACAGACCCTCCCAGAGGGAGGGGGATCACAGACCCTCCCAGGGGGAGGAGGGGATCACTGACCCTCCCAGGGGGAGGAGGGGGAGCACAGACCCTCCCAGGGGGAGGAGGGGATCACTGACCCTCCCAGGGGGAGGAGGGGGAGCACAGACCCTCCCAGGGGGAGGAGGGGATCACTGACCCTCCCAGGGGGAGGAGGGGGATCACAGAGCCTCCCAGGGGGAGGAGGGGATCACTGACCCTCCCAGGGGGAGGAGGAGGATCATAGACCCTCCCAAGGGGAGGAGGAGGAGCATGGACCCTCCCAGGGGAGGAGGGGGAGCACAGACCCTCCCAGGGGGAGGAGGGAGGAGAGCTAACGGCCCCAGGGCTGGCACCAGATGGGAGTCATCTAATCTCATTTTCCATAGCTTCTTCTGTAACTCCAAATACCAGGATTAAAACTGCACAGATGAAGTGGGAGGAGGCGGGTGGGGTGTCAGAAATGGGAGACAAATGGAATCTTTGCTTGGCTTCTCCCACCTCCAGCCCTTAGGGCTCATTTGTGTTCTTCCTCAACACAGAATGTGTTCTTTAAAAACAAACCCATGAATTGAAGCAAGCCAGTTGTGAGAACTTTCAAGGCAAGGATCTATACACACCAGTTCCTTCTTTCAAAAGCCATTTGTTTGCCATCATGTCAGCTCCGCGCAAGCCAAGACGGTGGCGTGCAGATTTCTGGTCCACCCCCACAGCCACCGTTAGAGAAAAACCCCACCTATATTTCCCTTACACAATATCACCCATTCAGCTCAGAGAGCTAAATTGCAATCACGGGAGTTGGGACTGCCAAAATAGACAGCTTTCATGTGGAGTAATAACAGGGTAGGCACGCAAATGAAAAAGCTTCTGCCAGGCTTTCCGGAAAGCCCACAGAAACCCCACATGTTAAAAGCAGAGTTGAGGCACTGAAGACAAAGGGGTGTGGCGCAACAGGCAGGTTACTGGCCCAGACAAAAATGTGAGAAGGAAGGGGGCTGGGGGGACCCCCCTTTACCTCACCAGGAAAGAAACGGCACCCTCAAATGAATGACTGACCCCTGGCTCTGCCAAGTGTGATGTGGCACGGAAAGCCGCAGATATGCAAGAGTAAATAACATTCCAGACATACTGCTGGAAGCAGTGCACTCTGCAGCTGAAACAAAACAGAGAAACTCCAGACTGTACGAGCAGGCTCAAAGATGAGCCTGCCTGGAAAGGGTCCAGTGGCCAGACTGACAGCCATGGCCATGTGGGCAGAGACTAGACAGCTGAGGGAGGTTCAAAGGGGGATGAGTGGACTTGCGAAGGACTGCCCCTTTATGGGGTGCACTGCTTTGTGCCTTTGGAGGCCCAGGCAAGGCCCGTTTGAATGGCTAGTCCAGAGGGCGCGGGGGGTGGGGGGGTGGGGGGGTCGTCGTAAAGGTGGCCCACGGCAAGGGAGCTTCATTGTCCATTCTTCAGTCCCCCCCCCCAACAATCTCTTCCACCAGACTTCCCTTCCCACCCTTCTTAACTCGGGGAGCATCTCCAAGGCCTGGCTGCCTCTGGGATGGGCTTGGGGAAGATCTAGAGGAATCCAACACAAGCTCCCATTTCCTTCCCTCAACCCTCTCTTCCCAGCTAACAGTAAACCATTTCCTACTGTCCTTGAGGAAGAAGGAAGTGTGGCAGCCCCTGACAGCCTGGAGGAAGCAGAAGTTAGTGTGTCTACCTTGTTACAATGACCCTGTGATCACAAGAATCCTTTCCCGTGGAAACCAATGTCCTGTGGGATCCTGGCTCTCAGGTTTCAGTGTCTGTCTGTGCCCTGAATTAGTTTCACCTATTAGAACCTTCCTAGTGCTGCAACCCTTTACTATACATTTCCTCATGCTGTGGTGACCCCAGACCATAAAATCATTTATATTGCTACTTCATAACTGTAATAGTCTACTGTTATAAATTGTAATGTAAATATCTGTGTTTTCTGATGGGCTTAGGCGACCCCTGTGAAAGGGGCATTCAACACCTAACAGGGTCACAACCCACAGGTTGAGAACTGCTGTACTGGGTGGGGTAGGAGGATCTTTCTCAGGGTGTTAAAACAAACTTGGACATAAAGGATGGCCAGAGCATCCCTTCAGTGAGAAGTTCTTCCCTTCCTCCAGACTCTGTCAGAATCTCTCAGGGTAAGTAGACGTCTGCTTCCCTCGGTAGCTAGTAAAGAAAACAACACACCTCAGCTCACTTAGAGAATAATCGCTAACGTCCCCTGTCAGCATGGATGGCACGCCACAACAGAGGAGCTTCCAGAATGTCTATCTAGGCTATGGTGACCTTGTGCTGTGCAAGACCCACTCCCAGGCTTACAGGAGAGTCCTGAGTTCTCAGCTCAAATCCACTGGCTCAGGCTTCACTTCTGACAAAGAAAGCCCCGGGAAAACAGGTCTGCTTTCTTACCGTATGCCCTGGAAGAGAGGTCAACTATTTGTACAAAAGCCAGGCTGCTGATTTACCTCCTGGACACAGGTAGGACAAACGCATTGCTCACAGCTCACATCTTCACACCAAAAATGAAGGCTGTTTTTTTGTTTGTTTCTTTTTTTAAACCGTAAGTCACTGAATTTATTTTCTTATTTTCCAGATGAGACTTAGGCACAACTGACGTTTTAAATCTCAGGGTAACAGCCACTCTCGGACTCTAGGCCACATTATCTCTGCTGTACATGGGGTGTGTCAGGGCGGGGTGGAGGCAGAGCATGCAGACAGGCAGACTTGGGATGTTCAAAGCCTTAATAGATCTTTGTCATCTTTCTTGGGAGAAAGACACCGGCATGGTGGAGGCCACTCCTCCATGAGTCTAAGTGCACTAGATGCCTGATGCTCACCCCAGCCTGAGAAGAGTCTCTCAGACAGTCCCTTAGTATGGCCTACCCAGACAGATTAGAATGTTGTGTTCATGGGGCTGGAGAGATGACTCGGCAGTTGGGAGCACTGGCTGTTCTACCAAAGGACCTGGGTTCAATTCCCAGCACCCACGTGGCAGCTCACACCTGCCTGTAACTCCAGGTCCTCACACAGACATGCATGCATGTAAAATACCCTTGCACTAAAAAATTAAAGATTAAGAAAAATAGAATGCTGTGTCCATTAATTTAAAACACGCTTCCAGCAGAGAAGGAAGGAGGGCCTTAGTGACTCCCAGGAGCTGCTCCCTTCCTGCAGGAGGAATTCAATTTGGAAAGGAAATGGGGAATTTCATCAGATCTTAAGTAGGAGCTGGTGTTTGATTTATTTCTGCTTCTTTCCAGGGAGGCCCGAGCAGCAGGGGGAGAGAGCAAACACGGAGCAGTTCAAGCCAGAAGCTGCTAGCCTCTGTAGCAGGTCACAGCAGGCTGAGTGGACAGGAAGGCCCTGTGGGAGCTGCCACCTCCACCCCAGGCTGAGTCCTCAGCGGGGAGGGAGGAGGGAAGGAGTGGCCAAATGTACTTCTGCAGAGGTTTCATGCAGACATATTTACTAAGCCGGAACTCCTAATAGACTTTAACTTTTTTCCCCCCCAAATCGCATCATCCACCTGTCTGGGAGGAAGAGAGAACCTGGAAGAAGGCCAGGGTCCACTTGGATAGTTCCAAAGACCTTAAGAGTCAATCGCATAAAAGCAACCTTCACGTGTGTGGTTTAATAGCTTGCTGACGTGGTTTGGACAGCTGACATATACAGGCATAGGAGACTGGGCGGTGATCTCAAGAAGAGACACCCACCCTCTCAGGCCCACACCTGCCTCCTCTTTCCTCCCTAAGTTGCCAAGCAATGCCTGCTGACACCAGCCGGTGCATTTGCCATGAGCTCCTGCTCCTGGAGTCCAACCCTTCAGTCCCTCTTCGTTGCCTACGCTTTAATGTAAGGAATGCATGTGTCACCTCAAAGGCCACAATACATGGCCTAGAAGGTCTGGCAGAATTTTCTCCCCTCTACCTCTGTGACTAGTCAACAGTGAACGACC